CCTTATAGGAATCAATGATTTATTGATGTTATCTTATTGAGCTGTGTTAGGAATAAACTTTCATATTTTATTTAGATTATGAGACATTATATCACTTACTTTCTTATAGGATCCAGTAATCTTGTGAAGTTTCATTTATTGAATTTTTCTGTGGCTTGTTTATACAACTTGCTTAATTAATACAATCCAAGTGGGAGATTGCTGGAATATTTATTTATGAATTTACATTAATTAATAAGTCCAAATATATTAGTTTTTATGATATTGTGTGGATCGTGATAGGTGGACCATACAAGTGAGCCCCATGGATAGAGGCATAACCTACAACCCTATAGTTGTTAGTTATTCCCTATCTCTTAACTAACCGAGTCAGAGATAATAGAAGATAATTAATAAATTTATTTAATATAGCAGTTATTGATTTGATCCACATAAGCCGATCAGTCGATAACCATACAGCAGACAATAGCTTTCATTTACTCCATTATCTTTGAGCTTTAAGACTAAAGGGGTCTAATGGATTGTGCCTTTATCTATACTCAATATAATCAAGGGGTCTCTAGTAAGCGATTGTGGATTCTTCAGGTATGCACACATTATTTTGTTTACTATCATTTGTTTATATGAATTGAGATAGTAAGGTTATCATATATCTCCATGATACCCAAAAAAAAAAAAAAATTGTCTTGACAAATTGGCCTATATATTGGCCATTTTCCTACATTTATATTATTTTACATTCAGATGATTTTGGAGTACGATTTACAGGGTGTTTGGAGTAAAGGAATAATCAATTTTAGAGAAAATTATCCAACAGCCCTATTTGTACTCAATTGATTATTGGGGCTGGAGTCGATTTTTTTATAAAGGTCCTCGTGGCTGCTTTTTGTTCATCAATTTTACCGGTACAACGTATTAATTATGGGTGGCAATTAAGTTTTCGTTTCCGTAGGCAGCAACAAATATTCCATTCGAATGACCCCCGGTTCCTCTTTTTCCAACCATCTATAAATACTCGTAGGAAAAAAAAAAAACAAAAGCACACTTGGAGATTTTTCTAAGATTTAAAATTATTCTGTATTTCATCAGAAAACACATATCTTTTAGCCAATAAAAAAATTAATTTATGATGAGTGATGCCTTTCAAACTTTTTTAATTATATATAAGCGTATTTATGTAAGACGATTCTGTTTAAGATATGTTGAGACAATTTGTTCGAGACATGATAAATATTAAATTTTGACACATCTCACACTGAAAATTTAAACATTAATTCAGCTATTTCTTTAGTTCATCAGACTCAAATCTCATTGGTCCTTTCAAAAATCTTGTAAAAATGGATGAGAGATTTTTCAGTCTAAATATATAGAACAACTATTTAAGGTTGTTATAAATTCATGAGTTTAAGTAAATTCATGATAAAAATATAGACTTAGATTGCAAACTTGAATCGTAAACTTATAAGAGTTTATCTTTATTAATAAATATTTATTAAAAAATAAAATTAATGTGTAGTATTTAAAAATTATATCTTTCTATAATTAATTAGATATATAAGTTAAATAATATATTTTACTTCTTAAATAAAGTTTAATTAACAGATTTAATAATATTATACACAACTATATTAATAATATAGTTTTAAAAAGCAATATTCTTTATGATAATTTGTACAGTTAAAATTGATTTTGATAAATTATTCAAACATCTTTAATTATGTTAAAATTAATTTTAAAAAATCAATATCCAAACAGATTATATTCTAATATAATTAATTATAATCAACATTTTTAATTATTTTTATAATTAATTATATCTAACTAAAATCCAAACAATCACTTAGCCTCATCATTTCAATGGTCCTTGTCTATTTGACACCAACAAAATATCCAGCCCATTTGAACGTCAAATATTATAGTAACTCTAATGCTTCTATTACTCATGATTAACAAGTCTTCTAATATACCAATGGGGACTAGGTCTAGTGAAAGGGTCTAGTCCCCCATAATATGATAACTAAGATTTAAATTTTCATTAGGAAAATTGCTCACATTTAATGGCAAACTGTATCTCAAATAAGATTACTTTCAACAAGAGGATATTTGCAAAAAAAAAAAAAAAAATCATCCAATATCATGCTTAATTAATCAACCTCAAACTATCCCTTTAAATCCCAAAACCATGTCCTCTAATACAAAACTTCCATCCGATTATTATCCATTTAACCCTATAATTTTTCCCAACAATAACCAATTCATATAAACTTTTAACAACCATAATTAACTTTCAAAATCCTATTATCAACAATTTAGGACCAAGATAGGGTTAACTCTAATCGATCCTAAGTCATCAAATCATTAATGAAATAAATCGATTAAATACTTAAAATATCCAAATAATTTATCTATAACACTTAAACAAAGATCAATCAGTAAAAATCTCAAAGACATTGAAACTCTAACGTTTTATCTCAACTACCAAGCTCAAATCAACAAACATATAGGAAATGAAATTTAGGAAGCTTCAAATAATCGTGATCCAAAGCTCAAAAAATGGCAAATCCCAGCTCCTTCTCTCTATTCGCTGTTCTATCTCTCCTCCCTTTTTTCCATTATCTGAAGACTTGATTAGAAATCAGGTCTGTGATAACGTTCACAGGTGGTCATACTTGTTAAACTTCCATGAATCATTTATTAACTTCATCTCCCACCTAAAAAGCGCTAAAATCAAGCCAATTAACGCTTAATCCTCAATCACAAAATTAGGGTGTTAAACATTCTTCCCTTAAAATTTTCTTTATTTAACTTTTCTATACTCATCTTTCATATTTTTAGTACTCAGTTTTTTTCAAATCATCCTAGATGTTTTCAATAATCATTTTCCATATTTTTTTTTCAAGGCTATAAAAAAAAGCTTATCTTTCCTTATTTTTTAGTCTAAAATCATGTAAGATGAGTATTGAGAACATTTAAGGCTACCATTTAGTTGTTAAAAATGTTAAAAATGACTGTTATAATTGTATAAGATGAGTACTGAAAATTTTTTAATCTTGAATAAGGATTATATATAGTCTTTTTCAAAAATTTTAATTTTTTTTGTAATTATAAAAAGTAGGTTTCATCGACAACAAAATAGGTATACATGGATTATATACAACCTTTATAACTTCATGATATACATGGTTTGGGAAGCTCCTACGTAGAAGATTGCAACTTCTTAACTGCTATAGTCTCTACTTCTACTGTTAGTTTAACACACTTAGTTGTTACTATGTATGGGGTCCTAATGCAGTACAAGGGGATTTTACATGTTGGTGTCAATTAGGCGGGTTGTGGACTTGTTGCTTTGCATGGTGTTTTCGAACTAATAGGTTTATGTTACGTCAATTTGAACTTGCTCCGTTGGTTAAATTACACCCTTATAATGCAATCACTTATAATTGCAATCACTTCAAAATGTGTAAAATGTCAACCATGCATCGATGTTATAACCAAATTAAATATCCACAAAAGAGACTAAGGCTTTGCTTTGGCAAGAAAGAAAAGTGAGGGAAAGAAGAGAGAGAGATGAATAAAAAATAATACATCACATAATTTTTCTAAACTTTTCTTTCAAAAAAGGGAAGTTTTTGAATGGAAAACCCCACTTTCAAATTTATCTACAATTTTTTTTTTGTTTCCCGCTTCTATATATATGCCTCCCCCCATATATTTTGATTGTAGTTTAAAATTTTTAGATTATTGTATGTTTAATAATTATAAACATAAAATTTAAAATTTGATAAAATAATTTGCAATTATATTTTTATATCATTAGGATATATAAGAAAAATTATATAAATAATATGTTAAAATATTAAATTTTATTACGTATATATAAGAATTTTTTTACAAATAATAAAGTTATTATTATCTATTTGAGTTAACAACCTTTTTCTTATTTTCACTGGCTCAATCAAACATAATGAGAGCTGGCCGGAGTTAAAAAAAAAAATCAAGCATAGAGAGAAAATCACATCTCTCTTTTTTGCCTTTTCTCTCTCCTCATTCTCCCTCAATCCTATGGCTATGTTTGGTAGGAAGGAATGAGAGAGTGGGACTGGGATTGGTATTAAATAATCCCACCTTTTCATGTTTGGTATGAAGGAATGAGAAATTTAATCCCAATACCAATCCTATCTAAGTGGGATTACTCAATACCACTACTCCTCATGGCATTAGAAAATCAATCCCAAGATTGATTATTTATAGACCAAATTACCCCTCATTATCTCACCATCATCTCCTTCCCTCTGCCCGCTCCTCCTTCATCTCCATGTCGTCTCTCCACCCTTGCCCTCCTTTTAGAGCAAGCAACGCCGGCGTCTCCTGTACTGTTACCAGTCTCCCGTCCACTAAGGTCATTACCAGATCTATAGGGAGAAGGAGGACATCGAAGATGAGAGAAGGAGGAGAACAATTGACGACCTCATTTGCATAATCGGTCTGAGCTCGAGCTATGGCCACCAGATCTCGCCACCGTCGTTGACTTCGCCGTCATTTACATCCTCATCATTCTCATTTCTTAGTTCAAACCAAAAGGTTAAAAAATAGAGGAAAGGGCGACAACGAGGTTCTCTTGTGCAGCCATGGGTGTTCTTTTTGGGGGACAAGAGCAATAAGAAGAAGGAAGAAAAGGAAGAAGACGATGAAGATAACCAGTGGAAGCATTTCCTCTGTGGCCATGAACGTTCTGTTTTAGGGGGAGGAAAGTGTTCTGATGATAATGACATAAATTTTCAATTATATTTTGAGGGGTAATATAGTATTTTATATTTTCGTTTAATTATAAAATAAAATAAAAGTAAGCATTCTCTCCTAATATTACTCCATACCAAACATAATTTTAAAACTTCATTCTCACTCTCATTCTCAATCTCAATCTCAATCTCTCTGAACTGAGGTCTGCGTACTAAACAGGGCCTATTTTCTCTGCTGGCCTAGTACTACCTAACAGTCCATTACTGCCTCCCTATCCAGTATTAATGTAAACCAAAATATCAGCAACCTGCAGGACTGAACGGCATTGGCTTATAGGAGCACTACTTGAACATTATTCTCCTTCTCTATTTATTGGCCATGTAGTTGTATTTGTACAGCATATCATATGATCTATAGAAGCAAAGCTCTCCGTTTGTATCCAAACCAAAAAATGCTTGGTTGTCTGCAACTAATTGCTAGTTTTGCGGCATTTCTCTTTCTCGTTTTTCATTTCCATCGAAGGCGATATTGGCGAGACCTGCTCTTTCCAGATTGGCCTCTGATAGGAATGCTGCCGTCATTTCTCAAAAATTTGGGGCAGACTTATGACTACACAACTGAAGTTCTGCAAAGAAAAGGAGGCACTGGTAATTTCCTCGGACCCTGGTTTACTGGAATGAACTATTTGGTGACCTGTGACCCCATGAACGTACATCGCATTATGAGCAAGAATTTCGCCAACTACATTAAAGGGCATGACCTTCGCGAGGTTCTGGATGCTTTTGGTGATTCTATTTTTACTGTAGATTCAGATGCATGGAAACACTACAGGGCACTTCAGCACTCAGTTTTCAAAGCAAAATGCTTCGAGAAGTTTCGGGAGAAGATTGTTCGAGAGAAGGTGGAGAGTTGTTTGATTCCTCTTCTTGATCAAGTCGAGAAGCGAGGAGTTGAATTGGATCTGCAAGACGTGTTTGGTCGCTTCAACTTTGACGCTGTCTGCTCTATAGTCTTAGGATTTGATCCAAAAAGCCTCGCACTAGATTTCCAAGAAGTTGCATGCATAAGAGCCTTTGATGAAGTAGGAGAGTGCACATTTTACAGACAAACAATACCTAAAAGCGTGTGGAAGCTTCAGAGATGGCTTGGAATCGGACCAGAGAAGAAGATGGCCCGAGCATGTGAAGTGTTTGATCGATTCCTCTATGAAAGTATAGCATCAAAGAGAGAAAAGCTCCCAAAAATCAACGGAAATGAGAAGGAAGCCGATGATTTGCTAGCATGTTTGATGAGGGGGGACGAAGGAAAAGATGAAGCGGATGACATGCTTCTGAGAGACACCGCTTTTAGTCTTCTTTTCGCAGGCAGAGATACCATAACTTCAGCTCTCACGTGGTTCTTTTGGCTTGTTGCTACACACCCTTCAGTAGAAGCAAAGATTCATGAAGAGATCAAAGAAGAAAAGGAAGTGAAAGATCAAGTATATCTCCATGCTGCTTTGTGTGAAGGTTTGAGACTGTACCCTCCCGTACCTTCAGTTATTAGGCAAACGATCAAACATGATATTCTTCCTAGTGGGCATGAGGTCAGTCCTAGTACTATGATAATGATATCTTTGTATGCTATGGGAAGGTGTGAAGAAATATGGGGAAAAGATTGCTTGGAATTCAAACCAGAAAGATGGATCTCAAGGAGAGGAGGTATTGTTCACATGCCATCATACAAATTTAGTACTTTCATTGCAGGCCCTAGGACATGCTTGGGTAAAGACTTGTCTTTCACTCAAATGAAGATTATGGCTTCTGCTATCTTGTGTAACTATCAAGTTCATGTGGTGGAAGATCATCCTATTTCTCCCACACTTTCAATGGTGCTTCAAATGAGTTATGGTCTCAAGATTCGGATCTCAAAAAGACATTGACCAGTATAATATAAAAGTAGAAGGTAATTCATATTTTCTGCTGTATGTTTGAAGTCTTGTTGTGCTTGTGTCCGTTTTTCTACTTCGGTAATGTTATTATGTGCGTATTGGTTGAAGGGATATAATCAAGCCACTAATTGTCCTGCACCTGATAATGTTGCTATAAAGATCGTTGCACTATAATGGCATGATGTTGATGGCAATTAGTAAAATCCACTTTTGTATTCTTTAGAAAATCTACGCGTTCATTCAATTACTTCGGCTATATATATATATATAGGATAGGAATATATCATACATGCCCCTCACTCAAAACTTTCTATGTATGTCCTATCAATTACTCCCTCCGTCTTTGTATTTTATATATAAAAAGTCTTCTAGAAATTTTTTTTGTTCTAAATATTAGAGGTTAGAAGCATATTTTTTAATAAATGGATTATTATTTTCTTATTAAATTGAAAAGAAAAAAAATATATTCTTATTAATTTACTTTAAAAACAGAGATTCATTTTTTATTTACAATAATTATGGGCAACATTAAAATGTTATTGTGCTTATAATTAGATAACCAATTTTTATTAATTTATATGATTCAATTAAAAATATATTATAAATAGGGATAGAGGGAGTATCACATGAAGCTTTTAATTATTATTCATAAATCACTTTCAACATTTTTATCGAAATTAATAAAAGGCTTATAAGCTTTTAATTTTACCAAAACGGAAATGATTAACATATAACTACAACCAACAGTAAAAGAATCATCTACCACATGCACACACGCTGGATTTCGACAGAAGGGAAGGAAGAAAAGAAGCAAAAAAAACTAACCCCTGAATATGCACCTCGGTTAAGCACAAAACAGAGAAACAAAAACTATTCATCCTTTCCACCTGACACAGGCGAACCAAGACAGCGAAGAGGAAGAAGAAGTTGGCAACAAAGACAGAAACTCGATGGAAACCTCTCAGCCATGCAAAATAGCACGATGATATAAAAGGAGAATCAGCAACCAACTTGCTGTGGCTAGCGAACGGGAATAAAGATGATGACAGCGGATGAAGCACAATAGCGAGAAATCAACCCCTCGTGACAGTGAGCTACGGACGTAGATAAGAGACCGAGATAGACCGACTATGAATGTCTAGAAGAGTGTGTATTGGTGGTGGGAAAAAATAGAGATGAGATGCTTTTGCACGAAAAAAATAGTTTTCTGATCAAAAGAAGGGTTGGGAAAATTTACAAAAAAAGGGCATGTGAAATCACAAGAAAAGTCACAAAAATATTACAAGCAAGGACATGAGATTTTTTTAAAATTTTAAAACTAATTTTAATTTTTTTTAAATTTAAAATTTAGGGTCATTACAATCATCTTCTTCTTCCTTGTCATTAGACATTGAATCGGGAACCTCTAAACTATCATCAAACTTCAAAGTTGCCAGTATTAAAAGTAGAATTTAAATTAAAAAATTAGATTAGTTGAAATATTATTATATGAACGAATAAATTTAACCATCAAATGCCTAATTATTATAAATAATTAGTGCCATTGTTTAAAATATTAACCTAATCATGAAACATCTGAAAATAGAAACTCATTATACTTTCAACAGCGATTTTTATTATTACTGCAAATTGTTCACTTTCAACAACGACTTTTTGGAGTTGCCGGTGAAAGTTTTTTTTTTTTGGTAGTGTTAAGCCTCGTTCACTTTGTCTAAAAATTTGTATATCCTATCATTTATCACATAAGCTTTTTTATTTTTATTTATAAGTCACTTCCAATATTTTTATTGAAATTAAGAAAAGACTTAAACCTCATTAACTCTATTTAAAAATTTAATAAATTTTTAATTTTATCTCTATTAAATATACCTACTTTAAAATAAAGTACTCTAACATATAATAAAATTTTCTGCACTTGTAAAGATGAACATAATAATTATTGAGGTGCCTTATAAATTAGACAAAAATATTCTCTCTCTATTCTATAAATAGGACCAAAAGTATTTATGATATTAACACACATATAGAATGTATATTTTTATATATATATATATATAGTCTCTCTCTATATTACACACACAATTAGAATATTTATTTATTTATTATTTTTTTATATACTCTTTTTGATCTCATATATAAGTCACTTCTAATATTTCATGGGAATAAAAAAATCCAGTTAAATTATCGGTATTTGTCATAAACAGGTATAAGGTTTTTACTGTATTCTATTAAATTCTTCATCTTTAAAAATATTTTATCTCTCATTGTATAGCCTCTTACTTTATTTATAAGAAATTGTAAAAGAGTAAAATTTCCAAAAACAAAAAAAAAGTTGCTCCGTCAGTTCTAAATTCTAAAAGACTTTTTTTTTGGAGATATTTGGCATCCAAAATATAACATATTTTGACAAAAGCTCAATATAATGATTTTTCTTTTTCTTTTACCTCCTTCCGGAGATGCTTTAGATTCTCATTCTGTCTAACAATCAAAATCCTCATTGATCCGTCTGGTTACTGGAGAAGATGGGAAGCTCGTTGTGGTGGAGTGGTTATAAGAAACAATGGAGTTGCTAGATATTGTTAGTCTTGCTTCTTGAATCGTATCCTTTCCTACTGCCATCACTGAAATGGTTGGCATTTCACAAGGGCTGGATCTATATGTTCTAGGATGAGACTTCAAAGAGTCAATGTTTTCTCTTGCCGTATGAGATTGAAAATTATCCGTTCAGAGATATCATCCATTATGCTAGATTCCTCTTATTTAGGAGTAGTTGTCTCTTTGAGTTTTATGTTTAGGGAGACTAATTATTGTAGCCATCTACTTTGTTAGCTAGTTTTGCTATGAATCTTACTGGGACCTTTTATTCTTTTGATCAACCCTTGCCTTAACTATGGGCAGTTGGTGAATGATGAAAAGAGAAGATCCTTAAGTCTGTACTGATTTCACCTTTCGTGGTTTAATGTTGTCACTTTATATTCAAAAAATCATTTTGCTACGCAATTCGCATGGTATATTGTCAGTGTATCTAATTTGATGCTGAAAATTTGATACGCACATGCATGGATAAACATGCACAGCTCTTCCTTTTGTTTATTATTTTGGGTAAAATGCGGGGTTAGAGCCAAATGCATGCACAGCTGATGCACACAAAATGTTTCACTGCAAGTGTACAGCTCAAAATATAATATAATAGTGCGTCAAGGTCGATTCCACAAGGAATCAAGCATAATAGCAATTAGGCAATAAAGTTTTCATTTTTGTTCACGTTAAGCAAAACCAATTAGAAGCGATTGATTAAACAAAATTAAAGAGTAAAATAAATAAAATGCAATGAGATTCCCAATCCAACAACTACAAATGTCCAATGCAACCTAGAATCACTAATTCTTTGCTAGCTTCATAGATCTTGCTTTTTACCCAATTAATTAATTTTAATGCTAATTTTGTTAATCTAGCGTATTAATGCCTATAAGGGCCTTTTGAACCTCAAATAGCCCTCTCTCAAATTAATTATGTTATTTCTAACAAAATTATCGAAGAGGCAACTTCAATTCCAACTCACTCTAATTTGATTATATGAGGCAATTAGGTATATATATTTCTATCCTAATTACAAATTAGATCATAATTTAATATCATATTACTCAATTTAAGGGTCCAAATGTGATTTTACTTCGTCAAGGAAAAACCCCAACACCCAAATTCATATTTAATGATGGCCAAATATTAAATAGACAAATTAATGCAAGATTGAGCAACCAAAATTAATATTAAGCATAACCAATGGGTAAAAACAAGCTCTAATCCACCAATAAGTTCATAGTTACCCTAGGTCAAATGTGTTTAGCGACTAACAGCCATTAAAATAGTATGAAGCAACAATATTCATTAAAAGATACATCAAAATGAAGAGAAAAGGGAGAAGAAAGATTAGGAAGGATAATTTCTGTCACAAATCGCAAGACCCAAGTATTTGTCAAGCTTCTCCAACTCTTTCTCCACCTTAGAATGCTCCTTGGACGTGCAGGTGTTGGTTGAAGATGAACTGGAACGGAAATGATAGCCAAAAACCCTTAAAACACGATTTTAACTGAAGCTGTGCGTTTTGTTAAAAACTGGTCTGATGTTGCAACATCCAAATCCGATGCTGCAGCATCACTGGGGAGAATTCAATTTCTTATGGGCTTAAAAATTATTAGCTTTGGGCCCATAAATTGGGCCTTCTTGTATGCATAAAACTCAAATTTAATGCCATAATTGATACACTACCTTCCATAATTGTCTTGAACTTTATCCACCTCAAATCTCACAAATAATTATCTACTTAATCACATATATGCTAATTAATTTCACAAGATGACTTCCAATTACATTAAAAACACTATTAAATTTAGTAAAATATTGGAAGTCATCGACAACTCTCTTATCACCAAATCAATTGCATGTATTGTCAGTTGTCAAAATTAATTAAAGTCCCATTTGTTTTAATTTATTTTATTAAAAAATTATTTACTTTTTGAAAATTTATTTTGTAACTTTTTTTTTATGTTTGTTTAAATTTTTAAAAATAATCAAAAAATTATTTTGTGAATCAAAATCAAAGTTATTTTTGAGCTGCTTCTAAAAATAATCTAATGTGACAAATAAGATAGAGTATGTTAAAGAGAGTAAATATGCAAAAATATTATACAATTTTAAAATAATGCAATAATAAATTATTTTTGTAAAAACAAAAATTAAGATATTATAAAATTTAAAAATAATTAACTAATAATTATTTTTTATTATTATAACCAAATATAAAATAATGTTTATTTTTTGAAAAAATATATTTTTTGGTCCCTATACTTTGCTAGTATTTTGCTTTTGATCCTTGTATTTTTTTTGACATTTTAGATCCTTGCACTTTTATTTTTTATTATTTTTAATTTCTCTATGAATAAAGTGTAAGAAATTTAGAGAGACCGAAAATAATGAAAAACAAAAACATAGGGACCTAAAACATTAAAAAAAATAGGAACTAGAAGTAAAATATGAGTAAAGTATAAGAACCAAAAGCTATATTTTCTCCTATTTTTTATAAAATCTCTATAAAATGTTACTGCCTACCAATGTGCTTCAAAAAGAAAAGAACCCAGGATACCGAAAGGTGGCCAAAAGGTCTCAAGCAGTGGGAATATAATGTCGCCAAAAGATGGCCCCGAAGACAGTGACTACTAAACATTAGCAACTTGTATTCATTTAAGAGCTTAATGTCGATCGAACTTACTATATTAATTTTGACCTAGGAGAGGAGAAAACACAAATGCGTTGATATCTAAAGAAGCAAAGTTCTCCAATAATAGTCTACAATCATCATGCTCGGTTATCCACAAGTAGTAATAGCAGGTTTTGCTGCATTTATCCTCTTCCTTTTTCATTGCTATCAGAGACGATGCTACAAAGACCCCCTCCTTAAAGACTGGCCTATATTGGGAATGCTACCCCCAGTTCTCAGCAATTTAGGGCAGATTCATGACCATATAACTCAGGCTCTTCAAAGAAAAGAGGGTACAGGGAACTTCCTTGGACCTTGGTTTACTGGAATGAACTGTTTGGTGACTTGCGACCCCATGAAAGTACATCACATGATGAGTAAGAATTTCGCCGGCTACATAAAAGGTCCAGAATTTCGTGAGACTTTTGAACCTTTTGGGGAAGGGATTTTCACTGCAGATTCAGACACATGGAAGTATCACAGGGCACTTCTCCATTCCTTGTTTAAAACCCCAAGCTTCGAGAAGTTTTTGGAAAAGATCGTTCGAGAGAAGGTGGATTTCTGTCTTTCTCCTCTTCTTGATCATCTGGAAAGGCAAGGAATTGAAGTGGATCTGCAAGACGTGTTCAGTGGCTTCAACTTTGATATTATTTGCTCCATGGTCTTAGGATCTGACCCCAAAAGCCTTGTGGTTGATTTCCCAAAAGTTACATGTGAGGGAGCTTTTAATTTTTTTTTTTGGCCAGGAGAGAGCTTTTAATGAGGCTGAGGTGTTTATATTCTACAGACACAGTACCTAGATGCACCTGGAAACTTCAGAGATGGCTTCAAGTTAGAGCAGAGAAGATGGCTGGAGCATGTCAATTGTTTGACCAATTCCTCTATGATAGTGTAGTGATAAGTGCATATTTTATAATTAAATAGGTATAGATTTTAATTTAAATTTGATTATATTTATTAAAATTTCATATCTATTTAATTAATATTTATATTTTTTTCCTCATCACTTAATTATAAGATAAAAAGAAATTTTAATACAAAATCCACTCATATCTTTTTATCTTTATATTTTGCAAAAATAATAATAATAATAATAAACTAAATAGAAGGAAAGAAGGGAAAGAGAAATATATATATATATATATATATATTAGAGTCCCACATCAACAAGGACAAAAGAAGGAGCCTCCACTTTAACTATAAATGCTCCCTCCATCAGGAGGAAAGGCATTAAATTACTTATCTGAGTACCTCAATAATTTTCTCTGAGATATTTGGAGCTCAAAGAAGCATTCTGAAGGCTGAAAGCGAGATCATTGAGGAGTTTCACAAATTATAATTATTTCTTTTCTACTCTTTAATTTTCTCTGTGATCATTTTTCATGATTGAGGATTCTAGAATAGTATTATTTAATTTTATTATGTGTTTTTAAATTATCCGGTTGGGATAAGGATGTAGCCCAATAGGGGAGCTAATTTTTTATTTCCTTTGTTTTGACTCTTTGCATTTATATTTATGAATATTTTTATTTTTTTCAATTATATTTAT